CACACACACACACACACACACACACACAAGGCAGTAGGGAATAGGGAGTAGGAGTACTAACCTGAGTCGGCAATCACATAGTCGAGTCCAGTCCGCCCCGAAAAAGCAGCAACGACAGACACAGACGGGAGGGAGGGAGAGAGAGAGAGAGGGAGGGAGAGAGAGAGGGAGGGAGGGAGAGAGAGAGGGAGAGAGAGAGGGAGGGAGAGAGAGAGAGAGGGTCGATAGCCTAGCGCTAGGTCGGTAGTGAAGCATCAGGTCGTTAGCGTAGCCCGTTGTCGGTAGTTTAGCGTAGCATGTCCGTTAGGTCAGTAGCATAGCGTCAGGTCGGTAGGTCGGTAGCGCCGTCGATCGGCAGGGCCGTTGCTCGGCAAGGCCGTTGGGGCTGCCTGCTGGGCACGATCTTACGATTGCCTGGCAATCCGGACCGTCGGGCCTGCATCGCATGTCGATCTGGACCGTCCGGCCGACCGACGGCCCAGATCGACGCGCGATCTTAAAGTCTTAAAACTTTAAGATCGCGCGCACATCCGGACCGTCGGGCCGAACGGCCCGGATGCGAGATTTCACCGCTTAGGGATTTTAATAAGTGTAGGGAAGTACTCAGATTTAGTTCTAGGCGCTTGAGGCAAGAAAAGAAAATGAAAGAAGCACGCACAGAAGAGACGAGAGTACCAGAGCTGCATCTCCAATTCTGTGTTTGAACAGATAATGCAACTCACTCTGGAATATAACACACTCTACAGCACAGTGATACTATGTCCACCATGGAACACCCTACCGTCTTCACCCAAATAGAATGCCCGGCTATGATGGCTATATCCAGACTGATTGTCACCCCTGATACAGCTACAATGACCAGGCATTCTATTCGGTTGAAGGCAGTAAGGCAGGCAGAGTTCCCCAAAAGAAAACCCAGGGCCCACTAGCACACACACGACATCACTAGAGGATTCGTCCACAATGACACACAAACACGACCTGACTTCATGCCAGAGCGACTTCGTTACTGCAGCGAGAACACGCGCCATATGTACCTGTTAATGAGGACCTGTAAGCCCGTGAATGAATGAATACGTTGAAGGTGGAAGACCTGATGAGCACAGAAGCTCAAGCCCTATACAGAAGGCGAGACCAGAAGATTACACAATGAGAAAAATGTTAAACATGGCTTAACCTAAGTGATGATGAAGGGCCGGGATGGGACAATGAGACCATGGGACCAACGGATGGAGGCTAAGAGACGGAGGGATGGAAGGCCAGAGGCCGGATTAATGGACTCAAGGAGAACTGGTAGGTACTTCTGACATGTTGCACAGAAGCCTGAGCCCTATACAGCAGGCCAGACCAGAAGATTATACAATGCCAATTAGATTTTGAAAGATAGCTACGCCTAAGTAATAACGAAGGACAGCAATTGGAAAATGCGACAGTGGGACCATTGGCTGGAGGTGAAGAGATGGAGGGATGGAAGCACAGAGGCCGGATCAATGGAGAAAAGGAGAACTGGTAGGTACTTCTAACATGTTGCACCTTGCTCATTAAACCTACAGCACTTCCAAAAATTACGGTACACGTGCGGGGATGAATGGGCGTGGGGTCAGAAGGAAATTTCGCAGCACTGTGACAATGGCTGTCCGCATGCATGCTGCGACTTTCGGGAGTGCTGGTGCTTTAAGAAACGAGGTATTTGGGAAGACAAATAAGCCATGCAGATTTGCTTTTCCTTCATTATCTTTTGTCATTGTTTTTATTCATCAGTTGTGCTTCCATATTGTGCATGTGCACATCTCTCTCTCTCTCTCTCTCTCTCTCTCTCTCTCTCTCNTCTCTCTCTCTCTCTCTCTCTCTCTCTCTCTCTCTCTCTCTCTCTCTCTCTCTCTCTCTCTCTCTCTCTCTCTCTTCTGCGCATGTATTGTCAGCGTCCTGCAACCCTGCCAACCCCTCAACACCCCTCTCCCAGCGCACTTGCATCATCTTGTGACAAAAATGACGCTACTCTCTCCTCTCCTTGCTAAGATGGCATATTGTGACCCCCTTCAAAACTGCCCCATCCTTCAGCCATGTAATCAAAGAGGCTTTGCATTCTCCACATTAACATTGACTCTCTCCAACCCCCACAGCATATGAACCACCTTCAGACCTCCCCAATCTGAAAGTATCTCATGACCTCCCCAGCTCTCTTGCGCATTGAGAATGCTGTGAAGACACTCTCATGTACCCCCTTCTCTGCAGATGCCACCATGCAGCCCTGCCCTTCTTCTCTTCACGCTTTTGCATGGAAAGCGTCGTAACACCTCATCTCTCAACACTCTCCTTTCTCTCAACCCCTTCATGCAAAGCACCTCATCACCCACATCAACATTCCACCTTGACCCTGCTGCTTACCCCCTTCCCCCACCCCACGCTCCGCATTTCCCTCCCTGCCCCGCCCCCCCTCATACCCCGGCCATAAAACTCACACCTCCCAAATATGTGCAAAATTGCAAATCAATACTACTGTACTACGATCACGGGGGCAGTTGAACAAACTAAGGAGATTCAGGCAAGGGAAACTTTGATCTCTTGTGAATCTCATTTGTCACAAATCTTGGTTTGGTTCCCATTATTCTCACATGATCGTATGCAGTACTTACTCTTGGATGCTGGCAGTTCACTTACAGATACGAATGAGGCTGTCCTTGATGGGACTCCCCATATCAGTATGAATGAGACTGTCCAAGGTAAGTATCATCCACTTTACATTTTCCATTCTTTCAGTCAACATTTTGCCTTGTAATCCCTCTTCAAGAATATAGACAGCCCACGAAGGACACAAACAAACTAGTTGAAGAGGGTGAAGTTCAGGACTGTGCAGAAAAAGTTGAAGAACTCCAGCACAGGATGCACAGGCCGTTTCCTTCCCTTCTGCGGGCATGGCTACCAGTTGAAGAGGGAAGACATTTCCCGCCAAGCAGGCAAGAGGAATGACATTTGAAATAGATGTAGATACTCGCACAAACAGAAAACAGCTGACAGACAGTAGACACATGGCAAAATGTCCGGCAATCTCTCATCCTGTTGATTGTGTGTGAGAGAGAGAGAGAGACAGAGCTTCAATACAGAGTACCCTGGCCAACATATGAAAAGGCAAGCAAACAGGCAGACAGACAAACAGCAGACACATGGCAACATGCCCGGCAATCTCTCATCCTGTTGATTCTGAGAGAGAGACAGAGATTCAATACAGAGTACCCTGCCCAACATATGAAAAGGCTAGCAAACAGGCAGGCAGACAGGCAGTAACCACTCACTCAAGAAAAGACCCACCAGCTGCTCGCAGAATTGCGCTAGTTCCGCTTCAAACCGTGGGACTACCATGTCATGCCTTGATGACTGCAAGAAACTGTAGCCGAAGACGATGCAACACAATGCACCTCCCTCCCACCAAACCAGCCAATCAAGCCCCCGTCACCACCCGAAATGTCTCTGCAATTATCAGCATCTCAACTGGATAATCAACAGGATTGAAACATGCATGCAGACCAAGAACACACAACACCCAGAGGCTGGATCGAGATGACCCGTGCTCACCACCCTTCTTGCGGCTGTTAATTTCGATGGCCCCAAAATGGGGAACACCATGAGACATATGATGGTTCCACCACACTAAACAGAGCTGTCGAAGATTAAGAAAAGGACAGCACTACCCTTTGCTCAACAATGCTGCAAGATTTACATCTACTACTTTCGGCCCAACCCTTACGTAGGGACGCTCATGGGTCCGTCCTGAGGGTCAAGTTCAGCGTTGTAGACGAAGAGCTTGCAAGAGTGACTTTCTGGAGTAGCTTTGTCCTTCCCTCCTGTTAGATTATGGCCATAGATTTATTTAAAATGATCGGCAACAATGTCGCGCTCAAGCTCAGTGTTAGTGAGGTGGAACCAAAACCTGTATGGTAGGATCACTGCTCCTCCTTTCCTTCTCACTTAAGGTATATATATATAAGGGACTTGTTTACCATGAGTTGTCCTCTTGAGGGGAAGCACCTTTCCGCATGCAGAAGCTCTTCCTTCTGTTTTCCACACACAGTTCCCTCTTTACATCATGCCAACCTGCTTACATTCATGCCCCTGCACCCCCCAGCAACACCAATGAAGAAAGGTTGGGGGAGAGGGGGAAAAGACATAAAACGTATCGCGTCAGAGGCCGCAAGCACTGCAACCCTGAGGATGATCATGCTCACTAGATGATGGCTACTATTCTGAACTCAATTGTTGAGGGCCTTAAGATCACTGCTATTGGATCCCCCTTCACAAAAAGAGAGGGCAGACACCAAGCTGTTCCACCAAGCCCACAAAGGCGCCCAATCCGCACCTGCCAAGACATTCCCATGTCAATTTCTCAGGGTACACAGCGGTGGTATTACTCCAGCTCAAAGATGCCGCGCCATCTTCTGCATGGGGCTCACCTTCCAGGACAATTTGACCCATCTCATTCTGCCAATTCACATTTGAACACTTATTTGAACATGTGAGCTGTTGCCTCAGCCTCCTGGCTTGCTAAACTAGACGGGTGTCTACGATCTCCGCTTGGACACGGCTCAGCAGGTACAGGTTGGCTGGACCACCAGGTATAGGTCTAGGAGGCTCAGCAGGTATAGGTCTGGCTGGATATGATCTCTGCTTGGACACGCCTCCGCAGGCGGATAGTGGCAGGAGAAAGAGGACCTTCACCTGGAATGTCTCATGGTTCCTTCCTTGGCACGACAGGCGGACTTCAAAGGGTGGTGGGTGCTATCCTGCTGGGAGAGACTTTTGAAAGGCAGATATTTTCTTTAGAGGAAGTATTTTCACAATCAGGAAGCATGACATTGTCATTGAACAAAACTAGCCTCTTCCCCCAAACACAATGCACCCTGATCAAGAATGTATACAAGCTATCTTTCCAGTCGAACGAGGAGTGCCTTGCGTTCGGGGAAAGATGGTAATCACTCAACCTGCTAACCATTTCTTCCATTCAAAATATGTAATACTCTGCCAATACATCCACTGCGACCATTTCGACTTCAGAGAGAATGCCAAGCTGGAAGAGGAAAGCTCCCCCTCAAGGGAGAACTTCCATTTGAGCGTCAAAACCTCACCCCACCTACAGTTACTCTCTCTCTCTCTCTCTCTTCCTGTCTCTCCGACCCCACCCCCTCAAGGATGAATTATTGAGCGTCAAAACCTCACCCTACCCACTGTTACCCCCC